GGGTTCGGGTTTAGGGTTTAGGGCTCCAAACAGGGGATGCATACATTACATACCGCATCTTGTACTGTATAGTACATCGTTTGTCTCATGTGTGTTGTCTCATTGTTATGTATCAGATATCCGGGCTTCAGTGCCAGCGGGACAACGGCAATGAGACTACCCTTGCTACTGCCAGGCAGTAACTTGCAGCGAGCTGTAACCACAAGACCTAAGCCTTCCTACGCTTTTGAAGCCTGCAAGCCCGACGTCGCCCTCGTTAAACTCCAGGCGCTCATCCAAGTTCAGGCTCTCCAAGAACCGAGACCATCCTGAGAGTTAGAGCTTTGTCCCAGGATCTTTGCTGGGGTCTCAGACCGGGAACCCAGAGACTCCAATATCCCTTAATTAAGGAATATTCCTCAAATTATAGGAGGATCCTTAATATGATTTAAGGTAGATTCCTTAATTAAGGGATATTGGAGTCTCTGGGAAGCTAAGGATGCGCCTTGGGTTTGGACTAGGGAGCCCACGAAGCTGCCTCGACTGTAGGGACAGCTCAGGGCCCGGCTTCTCTGCGACACTTGAGTCACAGTGGACCTCGGGAGGCTGATCCGACAAAAGGGGGGATCGGAGAGGAGGGTTGTGGTCTAGATACGGAGTCACAGCAGCTACGGAAGACGATGAGGAGGAGGACAATGCTGATGAGAATGGTGATGACGATGATGATGATGATGATGACCACGACGACAATGGGAGGAGGAGGAGGAGGAGGGGAGAATCAGCAGGAGCATTATGATTACGACTGATTACGACGACCACGATGTTGCGGACTCGGAGGCAGATGCTCTGCCGGGTTGTCTTTCATCCTTGAGCCACAGCATCAGCTCCGAGACGCCCTAGCCCACACCCGAGGCTGCGGCACTATCACCGAAGCTCGGTTCAGACCTTTGCTTCGGACACAGGGGCTGATGCCCCGCACCCCTTCCTTTCGGGGCTTGAGGCCAATGTGTTACCTAACTTCCTGAACAGGATTCTGTTTGAGGGCTTCAATACCAGGGAACTAGTTATGCGTTAGCGTTACCGCATCAAACACATGTCTTAGTGCTACGAGGCCAACGACAACACCAAGTTACTATGCCTGCCATGGTTCTGACTGTTGCTACTAGCAACACTGATGCGTTCATGTCTCTTGTCACGCCTATGGTTGCCATTGTCATGTCTGATTGGTGTCACCATGTCATCACTATTGTTGCTGCCGCCCTGGGGATTATGACCTGTGCTGCTTCTCTTGCGGAGGCAAGTGAGTTCCAGGCGTGCATAGCCCTGCATGTCCGGGAAGATGAGCTGGTAGGCCTGGTTCAGCTGGGCGACGAGGAGGTTCCTTGGCCAAATCAGTCTAGGAAACCTGATTCTGAGACGGTGTCGCAGTTCAGGGCAGCTTTCTCACATCTTTTCAACTATCATTGCTGTCAACCTCTCATCACTACAGTACGACTACTGCTGCCAGTTTTGCTACAGGGTCGGCCTGGGTCGTCGAATCCACTTCCTGAAAAGTGACCCCTTGCACTCAGCTTAGGACCTAGGAGCCCAAACAAACCCTTGCCCTTCAAAGCCCTTCAATGTTCGCCACGTCACAGCAAGAAGATCGCTATCAGGATGGTGAACACGGATACCGTGATCAGCACCCCTACAGTGTCCTCCCATGCAAACAGCATACGAACACGAGAACGAAAATCGCAAAGCTACTATCTGACGGCAACGAAAGTTATAGCTGGTCATCGTGGCAAACATAGTAACACATGCAGCAGCAACCGTCTCAGTGCAAAAGCTGCAAATGCAGCCGTAGAGGTATTACCACGAGTAGCACTAGTAATACTAGCACTACCAGCATTTGTAGCAGCAATCGCACCATCAGCACAAGTAGTAGGAGTAGTAGTAGTCGTCGTCGTAGTGGTAGCGGTAGTGATACTGACTTAGTACTGGCGTTGGTCATCGTTCCTTGTGGTGGCAGCAGCACTAGGCTGGCGACTACGATCACGACACTCCGACACTTCAACCAGTATTGGGCACGAGAATGTCTGTGAACAAAACTATGCCATGACGACAGGGAAACAGAGGCTTGGTCTTTCTGCCCCTCGCACATGCAAAACAGGCCAGAGTGCCCAGCGCAAGCATCTTGAATGTTAGCAAACCTCCTCATTACATTCAGTCGTCGTGCCCACACCTGCAAAACACTAACTCCCAAAACCCCAACCCTGAATCATACAACCCTGCAGCTAGAGCTCCATCTTCTCTTGTTCCGAAAGCTTTGCCTACGAGCTCACCAAGTAGATACCTGGAAGTCCACAGCAATCGCTGAAAAACCCGAGGACATGAGAGCTTGCGTCTGTGCTACAGGGAAGATCATCAGTCCTCAGAAGGCCGAACCTTTCTTTCCGAAGTAGCCTTCCCTCCTAAATGCCTTCAAAACACATGCTGCACTGCCTACATGCATGCAGCCCGCAACCTTGCGGCTCAGGATCATGCGGTGGCTAAGTTCTGGAGGGGCGACTTGCAAGAGTGGACAAAGAGTGGGTCGTATCACGCAGATGCTAACGGAAAGATTACCTGCCACTCCCTTCCCACACTCACATGAAGCCCTAAACGTAAAACCTCTAAACCCGGAACCCCAAGGCTTAAGTCCTAAGCTACTCAAACCCAGGCCCTGAACCCGAAATCTTCAATCCCCAAGCCCGGAGATCGTGGCAGCCACAACCGGAAGACTGCAGCAGCAAGCCTACCCCCGAAGACCTAAACTCTAAGCCCGAAAATCGAAGGTCTATAGGGTTTAGGGTTTAGGGTTTAGGGCTCCCGATGCCATGTGACCTGCAAAGACCCTCTTCCGCTTCTCCTGGCCTTGAGCTCCCCGAGGTTTTCGCTGGGATAGAGCCCCAGCGTCATGGCGAAGAGAGAGAAGGCTGCATTGCCGATGCCTCCCGGAGTGCAGTAGACAGTATATTGGAATATACTAGGCCATTAGAGCACATACGTATATAGAATATATTCTAGTACACTACAATACTCTTCTATGACTTCTATGGTATATTATGGTATGACTTGCAGAGCCGCCGTCCAGCCCCAAAATTCTGGCACTCGACGGGCTGCCTTCAGGAGGCTTCTTGCAAAGAAGCGAGCCCTGCTTCAACTGCCTCCGCCTCCGAAGACATGTTTAAGAGATAGAATGTTAGATTGTATATTATCTAGTATAGTAGAGCACATTACAGTGTATTACCGTAGATGATAGTATACCTCAAGCTTCGCTTGATTCCATAGCTCAGTCTGACTCACGCGAGAAACTAATGCATAAGCCCTAAAAATTCGAAGAGGGCATTGGGGGCATACTATAACATAGTTATACGTAACAAGGCACCCTGAGGAATGATAAGAACTATCCAGGCTTCTATGTATGACATCCCGAAAACCTTAGCAGGATCCGGAAGAGGAGGCAGCCCATGGGCTTGAGTGATTTTCGTGGAAAGTGAAGGTATTTCTGGTTTCTCATCCTATCACCATGCCACTTCACACCCCTGAGGCATGCCGACGTCCCCATCGCCACCTCAACCATAAGAGTAGGGCTTGGGGCTACAATTTTTACCTCATCTCACCTCACTCTATGGGACTTTGATTTAAGCCCAAGTCCTAAACCCTTGCCCAAAACTACTTGTCCACTTACCTTACCTATTTAAGCCCGCTGTTTGACTCATGTTCTCTTGCCTTCATCCATCGATATTAACCCTGACAGCAACCCCCATACTACTAATACCGTATCAGGCCCTACAAAAAAACACTATAAAATCCCATGGTAGCCGGGATAGCAAGGCCCCGTATTACCCTAAACCCAAAACCCAAAA